ATAGCTGGGATCCCTACAGCAATCTTCTTACAATGAATGGCCTCAATCATCTCCTGCTGGCTCCAAAACCACCATCCCTTGATTGAGAAGAGCACAAACTCTTAGAAAACATCCCAAAGACCCCACAATGTGTACATAATAATCTAACCAAAGATTTTGTCTAATCTTTTCTTGCAGCTATAAACAAGAATGCATGCATCCCTACTTAAATCTTGGGTACCTTTTTTAATCCTTGTTATCAGATAACCAATGTCTTTACTTACACAAAAACAGATATTTACTTCACCTCTCCCTCTGGATCCTGCAAACATTTTTTTCTCGAATGCATCTTGCAGAAACAAAGCTCTACAGGCTGATTATCTGGAAAAGTGTATTGTTTCCTCAAGTTCCAAATACGCTTTCAATAGCAGTGAATACATCAATCTGTGGTAGTCTTCTACCAGAAGGGAAAAAGAAATGCCTTATCTCCACCTTTCTGTATTACTGTTATTAATTGTGCTCTCTCATTTCCTTCCTAAATAGTCGCTTCTCCACTTTCATTTTTCCTTTGGAAACTCTGCACCTCAAGTCATGTCAGTTCTCTAAAAGACCACTGAATTCTTTTAAGATCAGCAGGGGAAAAAAAAAAAAAAAAAAAAAAAAAAAAAAAAAAAAGATATTTGAAGGTAGAATGCACTGTTTTGTTTTGTTTTTTAAAAAGGTACATAGTTACAGAACTACTCTAAAATCTTCAATATTATTGCCTATCCTATCCCCATCAGCTGCTATATGCTATAAGCAGGAAAAGATTCACGCTTGTGAAGATAAAAAGAACAAGGCAGAAGAACTCTTCAGCTTTGTTTCTTTAATGCCTGGGTGTTATTAAAGTTATGCTCCAGGCTGTGCCCGGGCTTACAGTGCAGAGAAGGAAAGGTACTGCCCAAGGTTAGCTATAAAAGTTAAATTGTTGGCTAGACCTTTCAGGAGGAGGGTGTTGTACAGAAGGAAGAATTATTCTGTTATCTGCAGCCACCAGCAGAGCAAATACACGTGTTGGCATGACTGAGCAGAACACAGGCCACATGCCCCACAGTGCTGGGCCCTATTACACCCCTACCTGCAGAAAGTAGGCACTGTACCAAGGCACAGCCCATCCCCAGGTGCTACAGGGAGCATCCCCGAGTCCTGGGGCAGGCAGCCTTTTCCTACCAAGCAGTGGGCTTGGAGGTGTCCCGGCATTTCCCCAAAACATGCCAAGGCACAGCCAGCAGTGGGCACAGCCACCGCTTACACACTGCTTTTTCGCTAAAATCTGTTACCTGGGATGCTGCTCAGGAGACAAGCAGTCCAAAGCAAAACGCCAGTTTAGAAATGACACCACCATTTCCTAGAAAACGACGATAAAATGTGTTGTTCTCTCTCACATATATCACGGCATGGTGATAAGTAAACGGCTGATCTCGCTAATGAACCACATGTTCTGTTTAGATTTCTCTTTGACAGTGTTTACTTAAGAAAATTATATTTGCTCCCAACAAAGGCTGAATTATTTCCTGAGGTGGCTATCACAGATATTTCTTCCTCCAGCCCAGACGTAGGTAATCAAGACAGAGCACTGCTTTGTCAGGGACAGGCTGCAAAAACTCTTCCCACTCATTTATCGCCACACATTCATGTGAGAAGGGATTTCCACATTGGAACTGACATGTCAACAGAGCTTGATACAAGGTTTCAGCTCAAAACTATCCTTCAGGCTGGTGGGAAGGGGTAACCTGAGTCAGTGTAGCACTCATAGAAATCCCCATTGTGCTGGGAGTGCAATACCTCAGCAGGGGCTCCTGGGGCAGCCACCTAAGGGCGGGCACTGCAAGGCCATGCTGCTCATCCTGCTCGCCCCAAGGATGCCCACTGGCAGGTCTGTTTCTCCTTCCTACGCAGGATGAGTAATTCAACCGCTTTTGATGTGAAATGTTTATTTCTTGACATTTTCCCGGGAGATATGGAAGCAACAGTTATGAAGAATTCTCCGTACACAGAGAAGCCCGCGTTGTGCCGAGAAGAGCAGATTACGGGAACTCCAACACTTAATAAACTGTGTATCTCAAGAAAAAACCCACCACGGCCTATTATCTCAGCAGTAACTGCCAAGATACAGCAGACTGAGAGAGCTTCAGAAGACAGAGCGTCTGCCGAAGGAGCCCAAAGTCATTTTCGGTGTTGAAAAGCGAGAATGATGCCAGCTCGCTCGCCTCGCCGATGAGTCAAAACAGCCCACCGGAGAGGACCGAGCGTACGAGCAGGGCGCAAGACCTCTCCCCCCCATCGCTAGGCGATGCTGTGACTTTTCCAAGCCCTGCCGACGATCCCGCTTCGCGCAGAGCTCCCCGGGGCCCGGCGCACCCCGGGGCTCCCAGACACCGGGGCTCGGGGGCAGCCCCCTCCCGGGGCACCGCCGTCCAGGGAAGGGGCCGCGGCCCCGGAGACCCGGGCTAGCTCCGGCCGCCCCCGGCGACACGGGGCGGAGCGGGGACCCTCCGGGCGGTGGCGCGGGGCCCATCCGGAGCGCGGCGCCCCCCGGGCCCCCTCCGAGCCCCCCTTCCCGGCGGCGTTGGGCCGCGGCGCAGCGCCTCCCGTGCGGATGCGGGGCCGGCCGGGGCTGTCCCCGCCGCTCCCCGTGTCGGGCCTGCAGGCCGCGGCCCCGGCGGCCGCCCCCCGTTATCCCCGGGCTGGCCCCGCGGCATCCCGCCCGCCGCCCCCATCCCGCCCGGCGCCGCCGCCGCCGCGCACTCACCCGTCCCGGGGGAGCCGGTTCCTCGGCGCGGGGCGACAGCGAGGACCAGAGCAGCAGCAGCCCCAAGAAGCTGCCCGCCAGCAGCACGGCGCGCAGCAGGAAGCCCAGCTTCAGCCGCATCCTCCCGCCCGCCCGCCCTCTGCCTCCCGCCGCCGCGCTCCGCCGGCCTTCCGCCCCCCGCCCGGCTCGGCACGGCTCGGCTCGGCACGGCCCCGCCGCCTCCCCGCTCCTCGCCCGCCGCTGCACGTACAAACTTTTTTTTCCTCCCCCTTCTTTTTCTTTTTTTTTTTTTTCTTTTTTTTTTTTTTTTAAATCTTTTTTTTCCCTCCTCCTCGCTTTCCTTTTCCCCTCCTCCCCGTTAGCTGCCTGCCTCCCTCCTTCCCTCCCTCCTCGCCGGGGCGAGGCGAGCAGGAAGGGGCGGCGGCGGCAGCGGGCGCCGCGGTTCCACGTGGCCGCCCCGCACCGAGCCCCGCACCGGCACCGAGCCCCCAGCCTGGGGGGAGGCCCCCGCTGCACCTGCCGCAGCCCCGGGCTCCACCGCGCCCCCGCTTCCCCCCCGCAAAACGAAAGGGGAAGGGACCCCAGAGCTCTCCGACCGCTGTATGTGTATACGGGGGGGTCATTTTTCGATTTATCCCCCCCCGCTTCTCTTTTTTCGTGGTATGCAATGGGGCACTGGCTGGTGAATATCCAAGCACAGTGTGAGCACAGTGATGGACGTACAGCTGGGCAAGCACAGGCCCCATTAATTACTGCAGGCAGCCGGGGCAGAACGGCGCTGGTGCACGTTCAGGACAAGCCTGTAAAGTCAACACATTTTTCTTCGGGGTAGCAGATTGTGGAAGAGATTGCAGAGATCTTATCAGCCCCTAGCTTTGCATGTATTTCATTACTAATTTTCAGCATTAAAAGTTAGGCATCCTGTTTCCGCCTTTGAAGGGCTGTCACACACCTGCACGCACACAAAAACCTGATTATTTGAGTCCTCCACAAAGCACAGTGATGTAAGGACAATACTCCCCATGTAACACTTTTGCCTTTTCTACACGCTCAGTAATATCCGCTTATTTTGACATATTTCATCCTTTTTTTTTCCCTGTGTGCACTGTGAGGATATCAGATCCAGCAATCCTGAACATTAACTTTCAATGATAAGCGCTGTAGAAAGAAAACAGGATATTACACCTTGAACAGGATCACTTTGGAGGAAAAAAAAAGAAACAGAGTGACCTTTGTAGCTGACACACCTAGACACAGAAGTCTTTGTTTATTCGTATAACCCATGCAAGTGCTGTATAGCACCCCATGATCCTTCCCCACACTACAGGGTACAAGGCACGGGAAAGCAGCACTTACAGCATGGGCAACAGCTCTAACCCTTACAGGTGTTTGCATGGCCCTCTGACTTCCAGAGGGCTGGAGGAGAGGTCCCCAGGGGTGTTTTCCCGAGCTCCCTCCCCATTTGCAATGGCAGTGATCACACTGACATCTCCACATGAAGGCTCCAGTGCCTGTTTTTAGGATGACAACAGCACCTGCACGAGGCTGGGGGGGGTGGAAGCCCCCAACTTCAGGAGACCTTAACTGCAGCAAGAGGTGGCATTGCCTGCCTCCCTTGGCTTAGCCTCCATTTTGGGGATCCCTTTCTGTTCTGCTGTGCTGGTGCACACACAAGAAGAAGAAACAAATCGCTCTAAGTGCTGCACAGAGGGTGGCATAGAGCTGGCTGCGGCCCTGGGAAGCCGCTCTGCTGCTGCTTGTCAAAGCTGAGTGACAGGGACAGGGCTGCCTGCATGCCGGTCAATACTACACGATTTCACATTTGTAAGGTTGCCCACCTATTATATATATATATATATTTTTTTTTTAATGGAGGCTTACATCCTGCCGATACCCATGAATGAAGGGCACATCCGAGACCACGCAGAGCTCCCCGCTGGAGGGTGACCCCGCGTGCGGCAGAGCCTGGCACCCGGCCATAAATCAATTCCCCTTCAGCTGCCCTAGGGCAGCGGCTTCCTCAGCCGGCAGCTCTTCCCCACGGAGGAGGAGCAGCCGATGCCCGCTGGGAGGCAGTGCGGGCCCGGGGACGGGACCCTGGTGCCAGCCCCTGGGCCGGCTCGGCCCCGGCAGGGCTCCCCGAGGGGGCTCCCCCTTCCCTTTGCTGTCCCCTTGCTCCAGGAGCGCCGGTAGCCCAGCCCGACTCCAGACGTCCCAGGCTAATGCTGACCTTGTCAGTTATCTTCTGGCACCACCCCACCGAAGGCATTTGTCTTCATTAGGGACGAGTTGAAGTCTCAGGTTCTGCACTCTTCATTCCTCCCGTGGAGTAAAGTCCCCCAAAATATATGCAGAACATATTTTTGCTCTTGCCAAACTCATACGGCTGAGATAGAGAATTCAAATTAAAGTTGCCTTTGGATTGTCTCCAGTAACATTCAGAAACACTTTAAAAAGTCTTTTATGACCTGGAAGGAGAGAGAGGAAAAGAGAGAGAAAGAAGGTTAAACATGAAACTTCGCCTCTCTTATTTGCAAAGGACTGTACACACCACAGTGCTTTAAGCATCTAGCTTAAACTAAAACAAGAAACAATCCTGACTGTTATTAGGGGCTTAATCAACTTCTGTCAGCCTGATACTCTGTCATTCAAATGTTTCCAGCAGACAGGCACTGTCATAATGTTTGGATCTATATGTGGACGTGTCTACTGTTTGCTGAGCCAAAATCATATGTTCATTTCTGCACATGCCTCCAAATAAATACCCGGCAGTATTTAAGTCGGTGCACACCCTTGCTGCTCCCAAACCAGGACCTTCGATGACCTGGGGGTGAAGGATCTGATTACCAATCCCCTAAGCCATTCAGCTGCCTTATTGCTGGGGATTTGGGGGATGGTGTCTGCAGCAGGGTCACGGGCAAATGTCAAAACCTCACGCAGTCGCCTGCGCTGGGGAAGTGTCAGTATTTGGATATGCCTGTTAAGCGTTGTCCTGAATATTCAGCCACAATAAAGGCCTCTCTTGAACATTAATGCAGACTTTCAAAGGAAATGCCTATAAACTTTAGTACCTATCAAAATGAAAATCATCTAGTGCAAAGCTCCAAAATACAACAAGCTGCTGTAAAGGCTTCAACACCCCCCCATTTTGCTCATCTGCAGATTTTCTTCAAACACAGTCCTCCTTTGTCAAGCCTGCAGCTCCGAGACCAACTTCCCTTTCTGCTGAGTGCAGCAAGTGTAGATCACAAGGCTTTTTCACGAGTCTGTAACAGTGCTTTGAAATTTGCAATGGATTGTAGACCTCAAGCAATTTCATTTTCCTTAGAAGTTTCCAGAATTAACTACCAACACTTCATTTAGTGCGGTATTTCACGATAGGATATACTCCAGGCTTAATGTAACAGCAAACTTGGTCATGCTTTGATTAGAGAAGAAATTGCTGGAAAACGCCAGCAGATAGGCAGTGGCTTGCTTTCCTAAGCTGAATGCCCTGAACACGAGAGGGCTGGTTTCTTTTTAACATGGCTTTTAAAGGGTATTGGCATGTTTACATTATGAATTATGTATTACAAAGCACTCATCAGTATTATGATCTATACCTTAGTGCACATTTCATCACAGGATCCCAAACTTCTCTTCAATTCATTAATGCAAAAACCTTGTACATGGACAGGATCTGTAGTAGTCTTGTGGGAGGTAAAAGAGTAGATGGAAAGAAAAGTTGCCAGGCAGGAGAAGCACAGTACCCCGGAAAAGATCTGGGAAGGATTGGTGATGGGCCCTATGCACCAGTCAGTTGTCTGTCCTTTCATCTGCTGTTCTGTCCTGTTTTGGACAGAGACAAAAGCAACAGTGCGTGTTTGCATGGCTGCATATGATGACACATGAGGAGCAAGCAGTCTGTCAGCTGGAACAATAGTCCTTGAACATGTTTCCTCTGTCTCCTGCCTCTGGTCCAGTGAGAACTCTAGCTGCATTTAATCCCTTTTCCCGTCCCTTTCCAGCTTCCCTACTACAAACCTGACCGTGGAGAGTTACTTGCATGTAAACAGTCGTCCGTGAACAAAGCTGCTGAGGTTTGACGCATTGCTACTTTGTGTCTAAGGCAAGCTGGCCATTGGCACTTAAAGAAATGTTGTGCAGAGCCCTAGCATGGAGCCGTTGGTGTCAGCCCTACACCAAGCTCTGTTAGAGGCTTCCCACCCTGCTGACACCATCCTCAGCACAGGGACACTCGTGCAGACTCCACGTTAATGAGGCGTTCACCAGCTAGGACAATTCAGAAGGACAGAATTTGGCATACACTCCAGTTAAAGCTACATCTTAAATATTTTCAGCATATGTATATTTGATTTCGGAGTTGATAAAAAATGGAATTACAGGTTTTAAAATTCTTCTTAATTTCTGCAATTGTTTAAAATGTACTTTAATAAAACAAGTGGCTCTCAGTAATACTTAATACATGCTTTTGCATATTAGACTGAGGTACACTTCATCCTCATTGTTTGGTGTTCATGATCTCTAATCTTTAGTTCAGTTTTTCCTATAATTCTCCTTTATCCCCTCCCCTTTTTTTTTTTTTTCCTTAAGCTGGAGCTTTAGCAATGCATGCCCTACCAAAAATTATTCTTCAGCATTTCACCATTTGATTTAATGCTTTTGGCACAGCACAGTTTGCCTCCTTTGCTTTTTCTGTCACTTTTATGAAGAACACGTTATGAAGTTCCTGTCATTATATTTAGCCCCCATACTCCTGTCATGCCTACTTAGTCAGTTTTCCTCCCGCAGTATCACCTCTAGCTCATCCTATATTTTATCACACAACAACAGTAAGTGAAGCTCATTATTTTGTGTTGGTCTGTATTCTACCCATGTCCTGAAGACTAGGTTGTAAAAAAATAACATATATATATAGACTTTTTCCAGATGCACTTTCTGGTATCGAGCACCAATCAATGTTTATGGCCGAGGCTGTACTATTAATATTGCTTTTGTCTGAAGTAAGTTAACCTCTTTTGGATTTGCAAGTCCTCAAGAAATCCACACTGCGATGCCTGTTGACAATCCTTGACAGATTTGGATCTCGTTAAAGCAGGAGATGGAATGGTCTGGTACGTGGGTGTCTCATTTAAGTTTGAGGAGAACTGGAATGATTCTGAGCATGGCTTAGCCATTTCAGAAGTAAAAGAAAAATACATATTTTAAATGACTTTATTTTAGGAACTCTCACCTGTATTTTGAACCAGACGTACGAGCAAGTATTTTGGATCCAGAAAATATCCTCTTTCAGGTTGACATATTCCTGAACACTTTGAACAGAAATTAACTGGCATCATTTCCTGAATCTAGGGCAAGAAAAATTGAAATATGTTGCTGCAATTTCTGTTATGCTGAAAAAGTGAATGGTGTAAACACCCACATTTCAGATGCTGATTTACTTTTCCTAAAAACTTTTAAAATCTAGCAAATTACAAGAGTTAATTCAATGAAATTGACAATTTGAACACAATCTAAAGTACCTTTGAGGTACAATATGAAATATTTTACAAACAACCACAAATAAATTAGATTTCCATATTTCCATGGACAGTTTATTGTTGAGCTGTTGGTAGTCTAACATAACATTATTATATTAAGATTCTTATTCAAGATAGTATGTTATGTTCAAAATTAAACAAGACATACTTACTGAAGTTAATCTTTGTTAGTAAAGTATTGGGTAAGTTTGGTAAAGTCAACATGTCAAATCTGAACAAGATCAAGCCCTAGGAAGCTTTGTAGGCAAGTAAGGAGGACAATCAAAGGTTGTTAAATTGAAAAATACAGATGTGCAACAATTACTAGTCACTAAAACAACTATCCATTGTTGTTCCTTAGCCACAGGATACACAAGCAGAAAGAGTAATTTGCCTTGTTTTACATAAATATGTGAAAGGTCAATTAATGATGACTTAACTAATAATAACTCCAGTCTAGGAGATAGGTTTATGCATTAACATTGAAATAATAGCACCAGAGTAACATCACAGAGATAAATCAGACTTATTTTCCAATTGGCTTCCTTGGGAATGTGGAAGGTGCATGGCATAAGGTGAGGTACCTGCAACTGACAACAAAGTAAGACTATTACCCTTAGTCATGTAAAGTTTGCGGATCCTCACAGCCTCCATCACAAATCCATTACTGGAAGTCAAAAGTCTTGGTAGCAATTCAACATAAAAGTATCCAGATAACAACTCCAAGCTTTCTTACTGTTTTGCAGGTTTCACAAACTGTGAGTCTGACATTACAAGTGGATGCGAAGCAATGCAAGGATGCTAAGTGGCCTCTGTTCTCATGGAGTTGCTATTTGGAGAGAAATTCTTAAACAATAGATTATTTCTATTATGTATAATCTGACACCAAGTTGTATTGATTAAGTAATTGAGTGAAATGATTCTGTTATAAAAGGCATGTTTTGTGGGAATTGCTTGTGAAATTGCAGGCAGCAGCAGCTGTTGGATCATAACACTGCACATATTCAAGTCTTTTACTAAATATAATCATAAAGAAATAGATTTCACAAGGTTTTTAGTACAACATGCAGATGCATTTTTTTTTTTTTTGGAAGTTTCTCCCTTTACTCAGATCCACAGCTACATAGATATCCTAACTTGATATGAATTAAACAATTTCTAACGTGTACAGTTTTAGCTTAGGTATCAATACAGATACAAATGCACAACTGTAATAAGGTTATCACCTTGGCAAGCTGAACTCCGCTGCTTTTTAGTTACCCATGAGAAGTAGTGACAATGGCAGGATCTCATCCACCTTCAAATACTGATGGTTTCCAGCTCTCTCAGTTCACTGTCATTCAACTCCCTTTTCTGATTTACAACTGCAGTTACAAACTAGTTGGCTGAATAGTCCAATGAAGCCAAATATATTCTGAAATCCTAAAGTATGTGCAACTGGCTGGAAGCAGATCTCCAGTTTGTACTTTTATTTTCAACACCAGCTTATCTAAATCTTCGTTCTGAATAGTTTGATCCACCTCAGGACATCCTTTAGGAAAAGGGAGTTTAGAAGTTAGTTGCAGTTCACAGAGTAAGTAATAAAAGACTCATTACAATTGACAATATTTCAAACTGAACTGAAAAATCAGCAATAGATTCCTAATCTCTTTCATTGACCCTGAGTCAATGAAAGCTGCTCCTGTAAGCCTTAGGTCAAAGTGAAGTTGATTCTATTCCTTGTTTACCATCAACAACCTTGATATATTGGAATATAAATAAAAATGAATGTGGTATCTGTGTAACTAATTGTTCTCTCCCGCATACTCCCCCCAGAACAGTGCTCTAGGATAAAAGCTATGGGAAGACTGCACAGTGCCAGTTAAAGCATGGTGATCCTCAGCAGAGCTTTGTAAACTCTTGGCTAACAGCTTGAAAAAGCTGTTTGCCTGCTTATTAACCCACAAGATTCATGAAGATAAAACTTGTTTTCAATACATTTTTAGATTTGAATGAGCAGGATTATAATATGAACAAAAACTAATTTAACAAGTTGCCTCTTTCAGGCTTTTATGCAAAATCTCTCTTCAAACTTGCCCTGCTAAGCCTTTGGTGTCAGAGTTGATTAACACAAAGGAGGAGATAGAGGCACTGTTCCTCACAACATTTAGGTCAGTGCTGATACTCTCCAGCATGTATCTAGGCCACGTCTAATTAATCCCAGAATATTCCATTGCTGCCAGTTTACCTCTGCCAGCTTCTCCCACGGAAACCTGGCAACAAAGATTTTTACCTTAGGTGAGGAATTTCCCTTTTCTGAAGGCAAATGGGAGATTTTTTTTTTCCCCCCATAATCTAATTATGCAATGTTTATTCAACAACTTATAGAGCCCTTAGGATATGAAGTATTTAGCAGGGTTGAATACCTCCACTTGAAACTTGGGGAGTATTGCCGTTGACTTAATTAGAGCCAGGACTTCAACCCCAGTTGTGTTGGGGATAAAGTTGACCAACTAGGGCCTTCTCGTTTCTAAATTTGATACTGCCAGTCAAAAGAATCCCTCCCCCCACCTCCCCCCCCACCCCCCATGTATTGCACGGTTAATCAAACTAAGACCAGAAAATAGAGGAGATCAGCAAAACAAGAATGTCACAGAAAAGCCTAGTAAAGCAGATGAGGAGAAGTTGAGGGGCTGAACTATATTTTGCACTTTGAACTGCCATCTACAGACTTCTATGGTCATTACTAGTAACTACACAAGGGGTTTGCAAATATACCCACAAGCTCAGGGAACTGCTTGAATTGAGACAAACTGCCCCTGTGAAGCAGCGGTGTCAAATAAATAACCCAGCACACTTCCTGAACAAAAGATACCCTTTTTCCATGTTTTGTGCATTACACTGGTGATGCACAGAATCACATGTATCACAATGCTAAAAGCAGAGCATTAATTAGAATGCACCATTGATATGCAATTATGCAGGGTGCTGAGTGTCAGAAGCAGCACCATGGCTGCAGCCGGAGGACAGTGACTTTTTAAATCAGTGCTCTATAAACGTGCACATCTTGTATGCACAAAGTCAGGTGATTTTTTGTACCTGATGATGAAGCGCTAAAAGACAAGACAAATTATTACTTGCAGAACAAGAAATGCCTGTTATTGTGCATCTATTAATATGCTCTTAAAATATAGACCAAGAAAAGCATGGACATTTTTGTAATGGGTGAGGTATGTTTTTGAGGCCACCCTCAGTTTTTCCAATTATGTCCTTACAATCTCCTTTATTTAAACATAAAAAAATTTGCATTTGATACAGCACTGTTATCAAAATCCTCATTTAAATGCTTCTGATACCTTCAAAATTATGTAATATTTCAAATGTAAATAAGATGCAGATTTTCACATACTTGTTTTCCTGTCTTAAGTGGGTTGATTACTAAAACAGGAAATGCTATTCATAAGTGCTTGATACTGGCATATTTTTTTAAAAAGGTAATAATAATAATAAAGATGTTTTTCAATGTGATTTTTTTTTAAAAGGAAATAGCCAAATCATCATTCACCTCCAGTTTCACGTGCATTAAGATTTACCTGCCCTTCAAATCTGTGGTGGTGAGCCAGCTGATACCTACATCACCATGCCTCACATCTACATACAGAATTTTAGAATTCATCTCATATTTTAGCTTGTAATAAAATTACGAAAGCAGGTTTTCTAAGATGTAGGATGCATGTACTTCAGCAAAGTGTCTATGGATGTATCATGTTCCCTAAAGCTCTGAAAATACCAAGTCCCACTATCTTGCATTTAATGCTTTAAGATGACCCCACAGATAGGTAATAAAATGATCACTTCGGTAAAGATGCACACAGCCTGGTGATGTGATAATAATAGTCCGAGTTTGTGCAATCAGTCATGATTCACGGTGCTCTTTCACCCAAGTCTCCTAGAGTAGTACTGGACTTGAGTGTGGGAGAGGGACTCCCACCTTCTTCATCTTGGCCATGCCTCTGGCTGTATCGCAGAGCTCCACAGGTGTGTGCAGTGGTGTGTATGGCTGTATGATTGACACAGGTAGATGGGCACTGAAGAGAGGAGTTATTTGAGCAGATTAGACTGGCTCTAGGCTTAATGTTATTGCCCTGTCCACTGCAGAACAAACTCATTATTCAAAAAGAGTATTACTCAAAGGTAACTTAAAAGTCCCCTACATTCATGAGTCTGGATTTTGGAGTCTGCTAGACATAATTTTCATTGCAATACTTACAGAAGTTAATTAAACACGTAGTTATTGTTTTGCAATCCAAACAGAGATGCACTATTAACATAGGTAGGGGTGATCAATAACTTGTTCTTTCTGAAAAAGTACACATAGTACATGCAAAATGCGTGCAATTATATTAAAAAGAACTTCTATGCTGTTACAAGTGACTACACAACTTGAACTGCTGTTGAAAAATTAAAATAGTTCATTGTAAGCCTCCCAGAACTTGCTTCATCTGATAACAATGTCCTCTCTGATCATTCAGAGCTTCTACCAAAGTCTTTTTTTTCTGCTACTACCCTTTTGTTAGTCTGTAATTCCTCTTTTTCTCTCAATAAAAGTGATTGTTTTATACAATTTCCTCATCAGACTCCAACCTTGATACCAGGATTTTCAGTTTTCCACTCAGTTATCTGGGTACAGTTAAATGACTCCCTCCTTTCAAGTATCCACAATAATCTCTGTTATGAAGGCAAGTGTTTTCCTACCCTATAGTGCATGAAGAGGAATAGCAATAGCATCAGTGTCTATGCTGACCTTATAAACAAAGTTCACAGTGAAAAACCCTTATTGTTAAGATGAGTTTTACACTGAAGCAAAAAATATACTGCCCTTTAGTTGGTTTTGACATAAAATACTAGGATCCCTTGCTAGTTATCCCAGATCTACAGCATTGTCCTATCCTACCTTTAAAATAAAGTTGCATGGGTCAAGAATAGCATTATTTAAATTGACCTGGCCAGAAATGCTTAGCAGATGCATCTGGTTTTCTTCATTCTCCTGTGATGCCATGTTTCAAATTCAATACATTATTTCATGTATCCTGCTGTCAGTGTCTATTTTTATGGCCATGAAACTCAGTGTTTCTCTATTCTTCCTCACTGCTGACAGTGCTCTGAACATGGCACTGGCTCACTGAAGCAATGCAAATGAAATAAGAATAATCTTATAAATTAGTCTGCTTAAAGTCAGGACATAGATTCCCTTGCCCTCTTATTTGAGATTTCAGTATGCAAAATGCAAAAAGATCCTAGGAGCTCTGCAGCACAGCCAAGGAGTACAATGTTTGGATGCTGCCACGCTGACCAATTTCAGCTCTTTATTTATCTTTCTCTGCTGCCTTTTTGCTCTGTCTGTTGTGTACCTTTTACCCTGTGTTTGCTCAGTGCAAGCACAGACTCATTGAGCCTGTTCCTAGAGAACCTATAGGGTGTTACACATGTCCTAATCCTGGAAGTAATTGAGACCTCAAGCACATGCACACGTGTGCACACACCCATTGTACTCATGTGGGAGTGCCAATATATTTTCTGTGGATACAAAAACTGGCAGGAGTTTCGAAAGGTGTATCTGCACTAATTAGAGTAAATATCTTTTGGATGCCAGAGCTTTCCAGATCAGCTCCCAAAGCTTTAACATTTATATTATCCTGTTTCTTTGAGGATGCATTTGAAAGAGAGTTTCAAACTCACAGCCCACCTCTAAAGCAATAATAATAACATGAAAAATTTTGTTTTCAATAAGCCAGCTTTCATAGCAAGTTGTAGCTTCCATTACTGGTAAGATGCTTAGTTCTCTAAGCCCCCTTAAGGCTTAGAGAATACCTGTAGCTGTTTGGTACACTGATTGGCACTGATATTTTCATCTCTGAACATGTAAGTGCTAACCTTTTGTGCATAGAACACTACATGCTACTTTTTATGGCTGTATTTTAATAAGCTTCATCGTTATTTTTATCCAATCATTCTTAAGGTCAACAGGCCAGATGCTGAATATGTATAAATCATGCAGCTTCAAATACATCAAAGAAACTATATTCATTTGTCCCAGGATTTGGCTCCCTACTTCCAGTTTCACCAGACTTTTCTTCAACTAATCTTGCAAATGCCTTAACCACATCCACTTCCTACTCTACCCCTCTCAATCCCTTTCAAATACCTCCTTCTTAACATATAACCCCTCTGTAATTCTTCCCTTTTAAATCCTTTTCAATCCTATTTTTTCTTCTTCTTTTTTTTTTTTTTTAATTAGCTAATTGTTAGAAACATTTGTAACTCTTTGAAATTTTACTTCTGAATGTGTTGTGGTATGTTGACTCTGAGGGCTAAAGTTCCTAAGCAGCTTTCAGAATAATAAGATTTGTGTGCATGACTTCCATGCACTACTTTGAAGATTTACTCTATAGAGTTAAAAGATTTTTAAGAAATCAGCTTCTTTATTATGTTCACTTGTAAACACTGCTCAGAGTATGCATCTTTTACAGTACTGTTACTCTTTTCCCCTCC